TCTTGAAGGATCCTTGTGGAAATATCACCAATTCTTAATTAAAGTATTCTCTTTTTAATACAACAAGCCGTTTTGAAAAATAGCTTTTAGTTTTTCAGAAATAAATTTTTGAAATAATTGACAATTTTTTCGAATTTTTCAATTTTCGCCGATTAAATTTTAAAAATTCGTATAAAATCCATTTCTTGGAATATGAGTATGAAAATATCCCAAAGTGTTAATAAGAGTCTCAACAATATTTGAAGTTTTGATAAAATTTTCGATGTTGCAATTTTCATCGATAATTTTCAAAATTCGCCATAAAATTAATTTCTTGAAGTATCCTTATGGAAATATCACCAATTGTTAATTAAAGTATTCTCTTTTTAGAGTTGCTTCGTGAGTTAAATCAACATCAAAAAAGTTCATTTTGTATCTTGGATCCAAATAAGTTGACATATCTTATCAGCTTTCTTATTAATTTCATTTTTATTCAAATATCGCAATAATGTGGCAATGTCGGGTATCACTTCAGAAATATACCAGAAATTATAACCATAATGGCGGGATAGATATACCGGATATCCGGCCGAAGGGATGCCGAATATTCGGTATCCGGCTTTTGGCGACATCACTATCCGTTCCATCATTAATTAGAACATATGCGTACCTGTGGTTCAGAATAAGTTTAGTTACAATGGGCTTACATAAAGTAACTTTACACATTATGCATAACATACTTGGGACATACTTTTTTTTGTGGGCAAGTGTTGATTTTTGGATAGATTTGAAAACTTGTAGCACTGAAAATGTTTCTAATTCCCTTAAAATTGCTAGAAAATTTAGGTTGTCTTTGAAAATCGTAAAAATAAAAACAAAATTCCAACAAAAATATGAAAATGCTTTTAAGTCCTGGATATGTTTAGAAGTCTCTGGAAAAACCTTATTATAATAAGGTATAATTCTTATGGTATCCTTGGATAACCTTCGAAAATACGTGAAAATGTTACGTAAATCTCTGGCATGGTTTAAAATGCTGGATATTTTTCATAATCCAGGTATATACTCCTGTGATTTCTTTGTAAATCATTCAAAATCCTTGGTTATTTTCAAAAATTTCATAACATCCTTGAAAATGTTTAGATCAATTGAGATTGTTAGAAATTTCTAGTTTGTTCCAGTTCATTGTAGTTTGAATTCCAATTACTCTTATTAGTTGCTTATTTTATTTCTTATCTATTGATGAAATTGAGGTTTCTCGTCACTAATATAATATCATATCCATTAGAACCATACTTTTCATTCGTAATCACATATAACTAATGAATTAGCTCAAGGTGCTGAGGACAGAGACACTCATGATCGGAGCGGCGGATCTTCCAAGCAACAAGCTGCAGATAGAAGAATAGATATTCAGCCGGCTGAAGATGAAGAAGGTAATAAATTAAGAACATTATATTTTTTTTCTGTAACCAATAGAAGCTTAATTAAAATGTAATTTTTTTTTTGATATAGATCAAGATGATGGTTATTCAATAAAACACATTGCTTATGCGAGATACTTAAGAAATCATCGTTTAATTAATGAAATTTTTTCGGATACTGTTGTACCGGATGTAAGATCTGTCGTAACAACCACTCGGATGCAAGTATTAAAAAGACAGGTTCAATCGTTGACGATGCACCAAAAAAAATTGGAAGCAGAATTACAACAGATTGAGGAAAAATTCGAAGCGAAGAAACGAAAATTTGTCGAAAGTAGTGACCAGTTTCAAGAAGAGCTCAAGAAACATTGCAAACCGGCCGTTGACGACGATACATTTTTAAAAATGGTCGAGCGTCAATACGATATTTTGAGACGTGAGAAAATGAGGGGTGTTGAAGATCAAAAAGTGAAAAACGAAGATGGGAATGGAAATAACAACGGGGAAGTCACTTTGAGTAATGATGAGATTGGGAATAAAGAGAGGGAGGCTGAAAGGGAGAATGAGAAGATTCAACAACAAAATGGGATGAATGGGTTGAGTCAGGTTGAGATGAAAGACGATAGGAGCGCTTTACCTCCTCAATCGACTCCACCGAATCAAGATGTTGAAGTTGGTTCGCCTCAACCAACGAGTTTAATCCACCATCATCCTACAAATCCACCCCCACACATGTCACCTGGTCACATCCCGCAAAATCAACCTCCGCCGCAAAACCACTCTGGGAGTCATGGTAATTCACCCCAAAACCCTCATATTCCCCATCCAAGTAGTCCACATCCACCTTCGTTATTGCAATCTAGTTCTCAACATCCACCAGCTCAACATCCTTCTCCTCAGCATCCCCCAATAAACGCCCCACCCCACCATCCTCCTCCTGGAAGTCACCCACCAACTCATAGTCCTCATCCAAGTTCACCACACTCAAGTTCGCCATCTCATCCAGGAGCAGCCCCTCCTCATATTCCACCTCCTCACGGAACCCCACCTCATGGTAATACCCCACCACATCCAGGTCAATCCATGATGCCTCCAACACAAGTTCCGTATCAACAATACCCGCCTGGAAGTCCCCAATCGGTTCCCTTACCTCCAAGGCCACCTCATAGCCCATATGGATATCCCCCTCAACAACCGCAAGGGTATCACCCGCAGTCACCATACCCACAATATCCACCACATCCATACTATCATCAACCATACCCAGGGCAATATCCACCTCATATGGGCAGACCACATCCAGGATTCCCACACGCGGGCCCTCCAGAAGCAGCGGGTGGACAACATATGCCGCCTCCCGGATCCGAACAAGATCACGGCGGACCACCTCCGCCTAGAATGTATGGTGCGGCAATGCCAGAAAGTGATAGGCCGCCAAATGAAGCTGATGGAGCGCCGTCGACACCGATGGACATGCACGAGGAACGTGAGTAAGAAATTTGTTTTGGTGGTTGTCAAATTAAAAATCTTATTGAACTTTTACATAACTTATTAATGTTTTAACATTTGGAGTATGTTAATCATTCATTTGTATTTTTCAGTTCCTAAAGGCGAATTAAATGAAGAAATTCGGGACAGAAAAGAAGGAGAGTGAACGGTTCTGCTTTAAGTTATCTCTAATATTTTTTAAACATTGCGTTATAGTTATTTTAAAGATTAGAGATTAGTAATAACTATATGTGGAAATAAATCACAATAATAATAACTTAAAATAAGAATAACAGTGGACATGGAAAATATAGACTTTTATGAGTAACAGTTTGTTTATTTACTCAACAATTCATCACTTTTGATATCCTTTTTCAGTCTTGATTCAGAACTGGAGGATTGGTAGTGAACAGTGACATTAAGTCCTTGTATTTTCTTTCAGTGATTGGGTGCGAATGAGGATAGCATTGCTGCAAATCAACGGTTTGTCTACGCAAGACCTTGCATAGAAAAAAATGTCTGCTTGCAATATCATGCACCTTGTATGGTTTGTATTCACTCTTTTTGGCACCACACGCTATAGCTTTCCAGTCTCCTGGCTTTTCCAACACGTTTGAATTTCGTCCCAATTGCAGAGTGCATGGATCACATTCTATTTTACTGTGTCCAGACGTTAAGAACTTAAGTTCAATGCTTTTTAAATGTTTTACTTTCTGTACAACATACATGCACATCGCTACAACGTACTTATTCAAGTTTTGACCACTGCAACGGTTACTGAAACATCTGATGTCTTCTATTGATTTAGGAAGAGATTGAAAGTATTTACTTTCCCTATTAAGTATTTAACTTTTTAGGCTAGCTACATAACCACCTCTGCCTCCTTGTCCTTCAAGCCATATAACGCCATCTCCTTCAGTGGTTTTAATATTATAAATTGTGAAGTTATTGCTTGGGTTACTCGGGCAAAGCAAGACTTGTTGCAAATAATAATAATAATAATAAACTGCCTTTATTTCCAGAGTAAAGAGAACAAACAATAATAATAGTAACTATAGTTACTATAATGCAAAATAAAGATAATCAAAAAAGAAAAAAAAACAATATTTAAAAAGAAAAATAACTTAAATACAAAACAGGTGGAAATCCTAAGGCGAAGTTCACAATGCGACCATAATATGGCCCGCTTCTGCTCTTCCACTTAACCTTAAAAATAATTGCACTTTTATTCAATCGTAGTACATGCCTACTCCCAAAAACTAAAACTATTAATTGATTCTGCATTATAATCTTCATTTCACTTATAATCTATCTTATATATGAGCTAATAAAATAAAAAATAATATAATGAAATAAAACAAAAACAAATTATTCCACTCGCATTAAAATTAGATTGATCCACTACAAAGCAAACAAGAAGTCACTGTCGCTCAAATAAATGCCTAAACAATAACGTTCTGAAAGCACCCTCCCTTTTGGCCCTNTTCTATCTTACCATCTTCGATAGACTGGACTTATGTTAGTCATTTAGTGGATAGGGGTGTTGGATATATGTATATTTTTTATTTGGACTAGTGGTGGAATAGCGGATAGTTACCAAATATAAAAAACCTATTAGTTAGTATTCCACCATTCACAGGAATTAGTATCTCCTTTAGGTGTTGGATACTGCAGATAATAATCAAGTTCAACCCCAATAGGATTTTTTCATTGAATACAACTTTATTTATCATTAGCAACCTCATTGTAACAATCCCTATACGATATATAAAATCTCTTGTTGCAGTTTCGTCTAGTTTCCTTCTCTTCGCTTGTAATTCATCATCCCATTCATTACTAACAGAACTGTCGCTGTTATCACTTTTTTAATGCGACACACCGTTTTGAAAAATCGCTTTTAGTTTTTGAGAAATAAATTTTTGAAATGATCGAAATTTTTTTCGAATACTACAATTTTCGCCGATTAAGTTTTAAAAATTCGTATAAAATCCACTTCTTGGAATATGAGTATGAAAATTTCCTAGTCTTAATAAAAGTGCCCTCTTTGCAATTAATCAACCTGTTTTGAAAATTCACTTTTAGTTTTTGAGAAAACAATATTTGAAGTTTTGATCAAATTTTCGATGTTGCAATTTTCATCGATAATTTTCAAAATTCGCTATAAAATTAATTTCATGAAGGATCCTTGTGGAAATATCACCAATTCTTAATTAAAGTATTCTCTTTTTAATGCAAAAAGCCGTTTTGAAAAATCACTTTCAGTTCTTGAGAAATATACTTTTGAAATGATCGACAATTTTTTCAAATTTTGCAATTTTCGCGGATTAAGTTTTAAAAATTCATATAAAATCCACTTCTAATATGAGTATGAAAATTTCCCAAAGTGTTAATAAAAGTGTCCTGTTTCCAATGAACCAACTCGTTTTGAAAAATAACTTTTAGTTTTTGAGAAAACAACATTTGAAGTTTTGATAAAATTTTCGATGTTGCAATTTTCATCGATAATTTTCAAATTTCGTTATAAAATTAATTTCTTGAAGGATCCTTGTGGAAATGTCACCAATTCTTAATTAAAGTATCCTCTTTTTGACGCAAAAAGCCATTTTGAAAAATCACTTTTAGTTCTTGAGAAATAACTTTTTGAAATGATCGACAATTTTTTTGAATTTTTCAATTTTCACCGATTAAGTTTTAAAAATTCGTATAAAATCTAGTTCTTGGAATATGACTATGAAAATTTTCCAAATTGTTAATAAGAGAGTCCCCATTCCAATGAACCAACCCGTTTTGAAAAATAACTTTTAGTTTTTGAGAAAACAACAATTGAAGTTTTGATAAAATTTTCGATGTTGCAATTGTCATCGANAGTTGTAGTATAGCTGAGTGTCGTCAGCATACATATGAATTTTACAATAATTGACAGCTTTTGGAAGCATAGATGTGTATAAACAAAACAGCAAAGGACCTAACACCGACCCCTGCGGTACTCCACGCTTCAGCTTCAATGGTTCAGAAATTAAGCCATTGACCTGTACACATTGGCATCTGTCTATTAAATACGTCTTAATCAAGCTTATAAATTCCTCCCCGCCTCCAATATAGTGAAGCATCGACAGCACAATATCATGGTCAACAACATCGAACGCTTTGCTAAAATCCAACAACACTAAAGCGGTGCACTCTTTACCGTCTTTGGCCTTTAATATATCGTCAGTGACATTTAAAAGTGCAGTTGTGCAACTACGTCCAGGCACAAATCCCGATTGACAGTCTGGTAATATATCATTTGAAATAATAAAGTTTTTAAATTGGTAGGAAATAACTTTTTCCAGTACTTTGCTCAAGGTAGGAAGAATAGAAATCGGTCGCAGGTGCTTAAAATCAGTAGGTTTTTCGATTTTCGGTATTGGAATGACCACAGCAGACTTCCACTGCGAGGGAAAATGTGACTCAATTATGCAGCTGTTTATGAGATGTGTGATATATGCAAAGGCATAAGGAACTATCAATTCAATCATCTGCGCAGATATGCCATCAGAGCCAACAGACTTACTGGTGATTGACCTGATAATGCCAAATACAGAATCTTCATCTACCGTGTGAAGATCAAAGGGTGTATTCGTATCGCTATAGCTGTTATTTGAGTAAAATAGTATCGTATGCTTTATGTTATTAATATTGACGTCAGGAGTACCACCAACAAATTTTGCAGCTCAAAACATTTTTATTATATTATATTATGCAATAGCATCTTCGTTATCCTGCTTCATAGCCTCTCTCGTCCTTTGTTTGGAATTCTGATGAGTTTTGTATTCCTTCCCTATCATCATTTCGGAAAGCCACGCATACACGGCATTGGTCTTTTTTCGGTCTATGAAATTCAAAATTAACGTTATTAAAAATGTTGCGGTATGCAGATAATTTTGCTTGTGACCTATCATGTTCCTTACACCATTATTCATAGATTCTATACATAGTGGCTAAATTTTGATTTGAATCCAAGTATTTTCTTGTTGTATCAGACCGAACATAATGCGACGGAACCTCTTAATATGTGTCTTTATACTTTCTACTATAGAAGGATCTAATGTTTTGCTTTTACCCTTTCCTCTTCCATCGGGGCAGCGACCCATTTTAATCTAGTTTTTGAAAACGTAATAAGGAAATTAAAAGTTCAGCTGGCAGTTTACTCAAATGATATTAATATAATGGGACGATCCTTAACGGCAGTACAAGAGATATATTGAGGTAATTGGTTTCAGGCATTATTTCATGAATCATGTACATAATTGAGTACAATAATTCATAAAAATAACTGAATATCGAACAACTCTGGAGACTATAATAAATCAGTAAATCAGCAAATTAAAATGGTACTGACGCAAGGTGGAAAACAATAAAAAATTCAATGATTCACAGTGTGCAAATCACTGTAGGAAAAACAAAGAATACAAAGAAGGAAAATTGGCTTGACAATGAATGCTGCAAGATCCAAACGAACAAAATAGACAGGAATACAGAGAATCCAGGAAAAATGAAAGCAAAACAATAAAATCCAAAAACAGGGCACACGAGGAGAATATTCTCGAAGAACTAGAGTCAAATCGAATAAAGACTAGCACTAGACTCTATTTCCAGGAGGTACAGAATATGAAAACGGCTTTAAACCAAGAGGTACCTTATTACATGTGAAGCTATTGGATGTGCAGGCATGAACATAAATCTCTTACGGCTGAAACCCTTGTGGAAGAAGTATTACAAGCTATCGGCGAACGAAATAATAGCGACACTATATCGGCAGAATGTCTAAAATATGGAGGAAAAACTTTGAAGCTTGCTTTTTTTCAGCTAATCTGCCAAATGTGAAAAGAAGAGCGAATACCAACTCTCTGGAAAAAAGTGTTACAGTACATACATAAATCCCTTATTAACACAGGATATAAAGTGTTTTCCCTAATGTTATTGGATCGGCTAATAGTGTATGTTGAACATCTAATAGGAGATTGCCAGTGTGATATTGCACCAGGTTTTTATAGATTTTAAACCGGCATATGATAGCATCATAAGAGTGACGCTGGAGGATGTCATGGCAGAACTTGGCACACTGAAAAAATGAATTAATCTCACAAAAGCCTGCAGTGAGACTTGTAGAAAAATTGTTGATCTTCTTTGCAATCAAGAATGGTTTCAAACAGGACGATTGTGTTATTATACTGGCTTTTGCTGATGACATAGATCATAGGCATGTGGCAATGGCATTCCCTCCGTTATTAAACTCAATGGGAAGGTTGCTAATAATGTTGCTTGCGGCAATGTTGCGACTGAAACATTAGAACTATCTGAGGTTCAGCGGGTATTGCGGGAGGTTTCTCCAAGTAAAGGTCCAGGGCCCGATAATATTCCCTCTATCGTGATAAATAAATATTGGGAAGCATTGACAACACCGTTATTGATAATTTGTAACTTATCAGTTTCAAATAGCCAATTCCCCAAGGTGTGGAAAAGGGCCAGGGTGGTTCCGATATTTAAATTCGGCGATCGAGGTTCGGTTGATAATTATCGGCTTATCTCTTTACTCTATGTTATGCGTAAAATTTTAGAGAAAATCTTATATGGAAGAATCATCTCACTTGTTCGTTCTTTTTTAACACCAGCACAACACGGATTCTTCTCTGGTCACTCTGTCGAAACTAATCTGTTATATTATACTGATCAGCTTTTTTTGTCTGGAGATGATCAAAACCAAGTTGACGCTATATTTACGGATTGCAGTAAAGCTTTCGACAGAGTGGACCATGAGATTCTTATTCTGAAGTTGCGCCGAATAGGAATAAATCCTGGCCTTTTAGATTGGTTGAGATCATGCATTATGGGTAGTTGTTATGGGTATCTGTTTTCAATTTTAGAAATTTCTTATGTATGCCGATGACTTAAAGATATTTTCGCCAATCTCTAGCCTCAATGACTACACTGAACTTCAGAATGATCTCTACATGATATACGTTCTTAGTATTCTTATGTATTCCAGTACTGTTTGGAACCCGCAATATGAGGTGTATATTGATAGACTGAAGGGTGTGCAGAAAAGGTTCGTGAGGTATTTATGCGTTAAATTTAAGAAAATATATACGGATTATATTTCAGCGTGTGGCATGTGAGGCATTCTCATCCTCCGTCAAAGATGTTATTGTTCCGATGCCATGTTTCTTTTTAAGTTGGTGAATGGTTTGTATGACAACTTTTTATTTTATGCACCCACAGCGAGAACGAATGCTTATCGCAACTCCCCGGTATTGAGGATGGAAAGGACAGTCGATAGATTGGAGGCCGACGTTTTTGGCCTAAATGTATTGGCATACAGGAGATCTATTCGGTCCGCCGTCCACGAGGTTTTACTTTAATTTTCATTTTAAGCTGCTAATTTTAATATTTGTTTTTTGGATTTTCATTTGTATTTTATTTCCCATAGCTAATTTGTATAAACACATATTGGTGGCACTGCGTTTGTGGGTTCGTCCCGTTGCCGTCCCCTACTTGTAAATAAATAAATAATCAAGAATCTCCCTAAAAATTATAAGGTAACTCTACTATCAATCTATAATAAAATATTACGTGATGGTAATAATATACCAGAAAAACGAAAATGGTATTGATTGTCCCAATTCTTAAACCCCATAAAAACCCAAACGACTCTAATAGCTATCGCTCTATATCCTTAATATCATTTGTTAGGAAAAGCTTCGAGGGTATGGTGTCGGACAGACTTGAATAGTGTGTTCGACAAGATTGGAATCAGGGCAAGTTATAATGGTCTCCCCCAAAGCAGTTTTTAAGCCCCATCTTATTCAATATTTATATGTCTTCCCTTAAACACGAATTGAGAGATCTTGGCGTTCATGCAATTAGCTATGCAGATGACCTGGTTATATATTGTAGCTCAAAGAGTACAGAAACAGCAGTAAATCAGATAAACATAGCATTGGAGTTCCTGAATACATTTTTAAGCGATCGCCAACTGGATATTTCAACGTATAAAACAAAATCGTTGATGTTTACTAGAAAGAGTAATATGATTTTATCTATCATCAAATACAGCAATACTGCTATAGAATATGTAGAAAATACAAAGTATCTAGGATTTTATCTCAACTGTAAGCTTAGTTGGAAAGAGCGCATTAACACCACGAACAAAGGTTGTATTGGAGGCATTAATTTAATTAAATCTCTATCGAATTTCAGATAGGGGGATGATCCTGTAATGTTATCTACACTATATAAAACGATCGTCAGATCTAAACTTGAGTACGGTCTATGGATATTGCCTAAAATAACAATTAACAAATTACTTTTAATCTGTTTCGAGCAAATAGATGAATACTTGGAGTACTTACATCGTCACCCACCCCCTCCAACGAAGAAGGAGAAACATCCATTAAGATTAGAGCAAAATATTTGTGTACTAGGTTTCTGAATAGAAAAGCCTAAGCATCAGCAACTGTCCCGTCAAAAACAGAATACATAATATATCAGAAATCTTCATCTCCCGTCCGTTATTAAAATCTCGTCCTCTAATTGCAGAAATTTACAATAAACTGAAACATGCTATGCCAAATCTGTATAGAAACAACATCCATGCATTTTCTCCTGGATCATACAAAGATCTTAAATACACCAATTAGACATGGAGGTAATCCTCATCTGAGTTCTGAGGCATATTGGAATTAAGGGCAACAAAAAGGCGAATGAATTGGCCAATAGGGGTCACTACGAAGAAACTCTTAGAATAAAGATCCATGGAGAAGACTTATATCAACAGCTCAGTTGCTGCATGGGAAGTCGGCTTACAAATCAATGAAGATAAAACAAAATTACAACACGAATAGAGCAACGAGACAGAATAATTTTGAAAACGTTCATCTGTTTAAAGATTTAGGTGCTACAATCACCTCCCACAATAGTATGACACAAGAGAGTGATAACAGAATACACGAAGATAAGAATATATCATTCAGTTAAAAGACCTATGACGATGACGCAACAAAGAACCGACTAATCGCGGAAAGAAGAATTTTTAGAGGGAGATACGGACCAGTTAAGGACTATATCACACACCAGCATAGAATGAGGACTAATAGAGAACTAGAAGAACTATGTAACCAGCCAGATATAGTAACAATAAAAAGGTCTGAATGATTGAGATGGCCTGGCCATGTTAGGAGATAAGATAAATGTGTTATTAAGATGATATGAGAAGAGTCCCCAGTGAGAAGACGGCCGCTGGGAAGACAGAGGATATCAAACGACCAGAGGAACTAATGTTAGACTGGAGCAAATGGAGGTAAATTACATAGTCAGAGAGAGAATTCATAAAGAGCTTTTCGATCTTGCTTCGCAATATGATATAGCTGTTTATTTATTAATTATTGTCTTGGTAGACTCTTCTTTATTGAAATGATAAATTATAATATATCTTTTTTACTCTATTAAGAAATCTCTGGAATTGAAAAAGTATTAAATAAAAATTAAAGACACTCATAAAAGATTAAGTTTGTATCTTAAATATTCATTTATTTCTTATGAACAGAACAATGTGGTTTTAATTTCTTCAAACGTTTCCATTCTTTCCATAAGCAATAACCATTGGTTTACCATTTATTAATAAACCATTCAAATTTTCTAAGGCTAAAGAAGCTTCATTTGAGCCTTAAATAAAAATATCTTATATACTTACATAATTAAAAAGATTTTATACAAGTATCAAAAAAAAAAATCAATACATACTTAAAAAAGTCGCAAAAACTTGTCCTTTCATCCTCCCCATCATTACTTTAAATGTAACTTTAGGGAATTCCATAAAAATTTCTTTTAAATCGCTTTCTTTAATACTTTTAGGTAAATTTTTTAAGTACAATACATTTGAAACTTCTCCAGGGTTATAATTTGTGAATTTAGGTAATTTTTTAATATCTTCCAAGGATAATTTATTACCATTTATTTCTAGGGAACATTTTTCTTGAATACTCGTCTGATTTAAATTAACGATTTTCCCATCTCTAATCGTATAATAATTTTTTGGAGCACACATAATCGTTCTTTTGGACGTTTTTACATTGCTTTTTTGAAAATCTTCTGGGATTTTGCTGTCCCACTTAGATTCTTCTACATATTGTGGCACAAATCGATCAATACCAGATAATTTTTTATCTTCCACTCCATCAAGATTTGTTTCATCACTTTTTCCTATTTTAGTAATTCTAGTATTTATATTTCTAATTCTTTTTTGTACTCTTTTTGGATTTAAAAATTCATCGTTTAAATGAGAAAATCTATTTTTTTCTAAATCTTTAATATCATCCATACAACTTTTTAAACATAATTTTTCATCTACATCTTTTTTCTCCTCGAATTCTTTAACAATCTTTAAAACCTTTTCAATTCTATCTTTTAAAATTGATTTTTCAATATTCCTATATTTCTCCGCATTAAGATTATTTTGTTGATAATCCACTAATAATGTAATTTCATCGCTTTCTAAACCTGCAGATCTTAAATATTCCACATATTCAACTTTATTTATTACATCTTTAAATTCTTTTAAGGATGATCCACCAGAATGACAAGCAGTTAACGGAATGTGCTTAGAAGAGTTATTTTCAAATACTTTTTGATGATTTAAATACCTTAAAATAATAACATTAATTGTTGTAATCAAATTTATTTGTTTCTTTTTAATATTTTTTTACCTTTCTATGTTAATATCTGTATTTAATTGCTTTTGAGATAAGTTTTTAACTAAAATGTCACGTTCTGTTAAAAGTTTTTTTGGTGGAGGTTCATCTTCTTTTAACGCTAAATACCTTGTTGATTCTCTAATCATTTTATAAGGATGTAAAACCACTTTACTAATGAATTATATTCATTTTTATTTAATAAAATGATAAAATATAGGTTATGTTTATTGTGACATTTGTCATTTTCAATTAAGAATCGAACATATAGATGGCGGTCTAATTAAATTTTATTTTAAAATTTGGTTTTTTTAATTTAATTTATATTTAAAAATAATAAATACAATATAATTAAATTGTACATAAAACTAAATTTATTCTTGTATATTTTGTATAATAAACCTAGCTCTTTTATACATAACTTCACTATCATCATCATTATCCTCATTTTCCTCAACATTTTTATTTTCTTCGATAATTTTTAAAGCCCCAGCAATCACGGTAGACTTAATTTTTCCTTTAGAATTATTAAAATAATCCACAACAATTTCCCAAGCTTCATCAGGAATTTTAACTTGATTAAACATGTTTTGTTGAATCCAAACTTGCTTTAATTTTTCAAATTTCCACGTATCTTTACTATGTTTCCATTGTGATAAATAATTCAAACATTTTTGTTGTAAATTTAATTCTGATTTTAACTTTTTCTCCTCTAACAAAAGTTGGTATTTTTTTCGTTTCCTTGATCGTATCGATTCGGTTTTTTTAGATTCTTCTGGTGAATCTGCCTGGTTTAAGTCATCTGTTTCAAGATCTTGGTCATCTTTTGACGAAATTTCTTCAAGATTTGGTTCAACTTTCGATTTCTTCTTTTTCTTTTTGGGTTTTTCATTTTCTAGGTTATTTAAATCATCTGAGTCATTTTTCTTCTTTTTAGGTCCACTCTCTGTTTTATTTATAACTTCTTCCTGTCCTTTTTTACGTTTTTTAGGTGGTTTTTGTTTATATTTTTTCTCCGAATCTTTATCCAATATTTTTTGAGCTTCCTCCTTCGAAAAAACTTCTTTTTCAAACTTTACTTTTCGTCGAATCCTCGTTCTAGTTTTTTTATTCGATTTTATATCTTCTACATCACTCATTATTAAAATTATTATTACAATGTATTAAATGTATATACATGCGAATTTTTGAGGTTAATATTACTTCACCTCATGTCATAAATTGTAGGGGAGCCAACTTAAAATTTAACAACTTTATTTATTCAAATATTTAGAAATTCCATAAAAGCAATTTACTATATTCTTTAAACTAGCATTATTTTTATTTCAATCAATATTTTATTTAATCTAAATTAATAAAATCACTATTTTTTATAAAAAGTACTTAAATTGTACTTAAGCGCCATCTATTAATAATTAAGTCAAAATAAGTCTTGTCAATGTAAGAAATAAGCGTGGAAAAAACTAATTTTTATAAATAATTAATAAATTGATACATATTTAAGCTAATTAAAATGAAAAGACTCCAAGGAAACTTTGGTACTCGAGATCCTGAGGAAGATAGAAAGAGAACTCGTGAAATGGTGCTTTCTAACCTCTTATTGTTCGGAGTTTTTATTGGAGTTATTCGAACAGGTAAAATTGGATTATTACATTCTTATTGTTAAAAAATTAAAGAATAATGATAGATTTTATTAATTTGATAACGAAATAAAGTTTTAACGGTGGATCAATAAAAAGTGAGGTTATGTACCAACTACATAACCTCACTTTTTAAAATATTAAATTTTTTTGTGTAATTAATTTGTTCTGTATTTTCAGCTCCATTCATCATCAAACAATTTTCATAGTGATTTTAAATGAGGTACTAAGTAATATTGAAGGATTGTTAATGATTTGTGTTGATTTTTTTTTATTGTTGCATTGAATGAAGACAAAGAACTGAAAACTTTGATACAATTTAATTACTTTGTAATTTTCTATGTACATGTAATAAATTTTATTATGTAAATTACATGAAATTGAAAAACAGGAGTATTGCTTTTTATTTATTTTTAAATCTAACTAATTTGTTAAAACATAATTTTTTTATAAATAAAATTTCCATAATTGGAAAAAGCTTGTTCAGGTTCAATTTGCGTTGGGAGCCTCATGAGATCTTGTATAAAACAATGATTCAAATGATTAGAGTTGGAGAGATTGGACTTCTCTTAACCAAAATTGTCACTTCTCAACTCTATTCTTCTTCTTCTTTGGTTTTTTGACTGGAGTGAACTAGACTCCTCCATCCTAGACCAGATTCTGCTCAGAATCTTCTCTGAATCTATTTCTGGTCTTGGAAATTTTCTACCAGACTCTAACTCTTGATCAAATTCCCACCTAGAATTCACAGCCAACTCTGAGCTTCTTTCGCCGAACTTCTTCACTAAACTTCTCTCGTCTGAGATTTTAAACCAATCTCTTCACCTAAATAATTGTTTCCATTGACCGAAACAAATTCGAACCTCGTTTTATGACCTCGATTTAAAATCCGCGATCTTATTGCGAGTTATCGAAGATCTGATTTCTTCCAGTTTCTGTCGGATTTTGGAACTGGATTTTCTACAATGCCTTTACTTATGCATTCGTAACTTACTCTTATTACCGTTCTCACACTGACATCAAAGGCGTCGCAAGTTCCCCAAGATTCTTCCCTTCGTCAAAAACTTGTCTAACATTGATTATCGTTTGTTTTTCTTTTAACGTCAAAGCTTTAGTCAAAGCGTTTCGTGTTTATTTCTCTTTCCGTGAATTGCTATTGGACGACTTTAAACGGAATGGAACGACTAACCAACACCAAAAAGAAGCCCATATACCTGAAAAAATATAACATTGATTGTATTGACAGAAAGTATTCGAAAACTCCACAAAAACAGACTGGCAAATAAACTACAAAACACCCACACAACAGACGAACGTGAAGCCAAGAAGTGGTGGCAGTAATTAAAAACCAGTATACAAGAAGAGTCTACAAGGAAACCAAAAATTAATGCAAACCATACTAAACCATGGTTTTGCGAAGAAATAAGAGATCTTGCAAAAATAAGAAAGAAAAAATTACCTATCCTATAAAATCTCACCAACCGAAGAGCAACGAATGACATACGTATCTCTATAGGGCACAGAAAAAAGTCTGAAAGATGCTAGGAAACAGAAATAACCTACTAGTTCAATTATCTTTAAACAACTATATACCGCTGAGGAAACAACTAAAATAGTTTATGAAAACAGATAATGAAATATCAATATCTACAGAGTAACTAGCAGAATTAGTTAAAAATCTTGGCCAAAAAGATATTTTTGTCAATTTTTTACTTCAAAATTGGTGGAAATTAAAAAATATCTATACAGGGTGATTCAAAAAACAGACTTCTAGAGTACATGGGGTCGCAAATGCATCGTTGGCGAGATATAGCGGATCAAAGTTTCTTTAAAATTAAGCATTATCTGCTATAAAAAGCACTTTTTTAAAAATATTGTCTACGCCGTTACTCTCTACGCGTGTAAAGTGATTAATTATCTATCAATTGGTCTCTTACAAAACTTTGATCAAAGTAATAGTTTCTAAGATAAACACGTTTGTAGAAAATTTGTTAATTCAATCAAAAACTGTTGCTTTAATCAAAGTTTTGTAAGATATCAATTGATAGATAATTGATCACTTTACATCAAAATACTGCCCGTTTGACAAAATTAGCGGTGGAGTTGAAAATATTTTTAAAAAAGGGCTTTTTATTGCAGATAATGTTTAATTTTAAAGAAACTTGGACCCGCTATGTCCCGTTAAGGAGGCATTTGCGACCCCATGTATATTAAGACTTTTCATCTTAATTTTTGATGTATTACCTGCCCTAGAAGTCTGTCAGCGGTTTTTTGAATCACCCTGTACAATTAACAAGGATGAAGTATTTTATGATATACTGCGATTTTATTTAATTGTATCTACCTATATTTTTATATATAGGATGGTCCATTACTACTGGGACACAGAGGAACAGTGAATTCCTTACATTAAATTGTTACGATTTAACCCAATTTATGGTTCCCCGTAGCACTAATTGGGATCTGTTTAAGAGTTGCCTTGCAGATAACCTAACTAGTGTTATCGCAACCGTTAGGAACTGTGATCAGGTTGAAATAGCCACGAAGCAGATCTCTGTGGCAATTCGCTCTGCATATCACAGTAGCAGTCCACTGAAGGTGAAAAGTAGTAATCGGGGCACACCCTGGTGGAACGAATCTCTTAGCTCCGAAAGACAAGAGGTCCGAAAGCTTTTCAACCGGGCCAAGACATTAGGTGAATGGGAGAAATATAAACAGGCTCTAACGAATTACACCAAAAACATACGTAAGGCAAAAAGAGAGTCTTGGAGGAGGTTCTGTGAGGGAGTGAAAGACACACCCAGCAGTGCAAGAATTCACAAGATTCTCGCTAGAGATCCGGCACTACCCCTGGGCTCACTTAGGCGGCCTGACGGTAGTTTTACGGACTCTAGCAGAGCCTCGTTGGAGCTTCTCATGCAGACTCACTTCCCAGGAAGCCTGATGATGAGGGCCGATAATGCCACAGCGGGCTATTCCTGCAAGGCAAAGCGCCCCTCAAATACGGATTGGAGTGTGGCTAGAAAAGTCGTCACTTACACATCCGTGGACCAGGCAATTCAAACGTTTAAGCCGTTCAAATCGCCTGGAGAAGACAATATCTTTCCTGCTTTGTTACAGCAGGGGAGGTCTTTGTTGTTGCCAATTTTGGTAAAAATTTTCAGAGCGAGTGTCGCCTGGAAATATGTGCCGGCAGAATGGACTAAGGTACGGGTATCTTACATACCCAAAGCGGGCCGTTCGGTCCCTACTTCTAATGCCTTTCGACCCATCAGCCTAACGTCATTTCTGCTGAAAACCCTTGAAAAAGTTCTGGAACGGTATATCCGTACGGTGCCATTGGTATCTGGTCCACTGAGTCGCCACCAGTATGCTTATCAAGCGGGAAAATCAGCAGAATTGGCTCTACACAACTTAGTTGGTAGAGTATCCAGGACGCTGCAGGATAAAGAAATCTTGGTTTGTGCGTTTCTGGATATAGAGGGAGCGTTCAACAACGCAATACCACAATCTCTTGAAAGAGCTGCTCTTGACAGGGGAGTGGAAGTAATTCTAGCTGGTTGGATCCGCAATATGCTAGATAGTAGAATAGTTTCTACTTCACTCCACGGTGATACGATAGTCAGCCCGACATTTCAAAATGACAACATCTATAAATAAAACAAAAGCCATGACATTTACCAAAGAACCAGCAACATCTTCAGATATCTAGGTATGGACATCTACTACAGTCACGACCTTACTAAAGAAATAAGCAGTTAAGTAAATAAAGCAGCAGCCCTGTCGGGATGCTTAACAGACATTATTTAGTCAAACCAGTACAGGCGAACAGATAGCAAAATAAGAATTATAAAATCTGCATAAAATCCATTATGACATGCTGAGGATTGCTGAAATGTGAAGTTTAAGTACTATCCTAGACAAAACGAGAAGTGAGAAATGATAATTAGTTTCAAACTAAGAAACACTAACATCTAGGGACAGTGCAGGATACAGGATGTTGTACGATAGTGCAGACAGCGAAGAAGAGAATGGTACATCCATGTAAAGAGGAGTATTGTTAAGAATAAAATTTGTTACAAATTCCCTTCGTCTTCTTCCTCAGATCTTCAATTTTTCTCTTTTTATTTTTCATGTCTTCCTTCTTAACCAACATCGTATGCTCTCGAATTTTATCTAGAATCTGTTCAATTTCTATGTAGTGAAAATGTGTTTGAAGAGATCTTTGTGTCATTGCTAGACCCTCGTATGTCTGGTTCAAGTTCTTGAAATGTCTTCTTTTTTCATCCTTCATTATTTTACGGGTTATATCTCTCCTTGTCGATTCTATGTTATTTTTTCCCTCAAACATGTATTGAGAAAATTAATGTGATTTTTTGCCATTTCAAGTCTTATGTATAGTTTTCTGAGTCCATGGATAAGTTTTGAAGTGTTGGTATGAATTTTAGTAAATGTATCCATGTTGCAAGTTTTCAATCAATGTAAAAGGTAATTGTAATAAAAACTTCTTACTTGCTTATATTATTTTTATTTTATATGGTACTAGTTTAATAAAAATAATAATTTCAGCTCCGAGTAAAATATCTTTTTCTCTTTATCATCTTCATAGCGTAACTCAGAACTTATTCAAGATAATTAATTTAACATTTAAAAACGTTGTGATGAAAATGAATATTTTCTTGCTCATTTTAATACTTTTTGGTATGTTTTTCCAGAAAATCTTTTCATGAATGAAATTTTCCAATTGTATAAGTTACCAAATTTCATTGCGCTAGACACACGCGTTTAGATTATACAGCGTGTGCTCGTGGATTATTTCTAACAGTGTAACATATCTGAAAATATGTGCTCATAAACAACCACCAAATTTGGTGGTAAGGACATATCTGGGTTAATACTCATAAACACATTTCTTGAATGAAACGATATCTATAAGTGTTGAAATTAATTTCTAAGAATGCGGAAATTTCGAGTGGAGATTTTGTCGGAATTGTAATATATTTTATATCGATTGGTGTTTTCTGATTAAAGAGGATTTTGTGACTTGTTTTTTAAACTGGATTTATTAACAGGTGATGTCATCAGTAAATATTTGTAATCGGTTTAAAAGGAATTCGTTTTTTAGTTTCTGGGAGCTTAATAGATTAATTTAATCATGTTTCACAATATTACCAATTTTTTGATGTTATGGAGAGATATCTTTCCAAAGAAAATCATCTAAAATTGATTTCTTTTATTACATCTTATTATTTCTTTTAAATTAGTTTTACATGTAACAATTAATATTACAATTAACCTGGCATATGAATTAAAGCGCATTTGGAAACTATGTTAGGTGGCATAAAGAAACACCGATCATGAAGAAAACTTGAATATGATTTTCACGTATTCGGTGGAGATCTACTTCGTTCCAATGCCGATTTAGATTTCCACATAGTGTAAAGGTCACTACGTAACCAAATTCAAATCTACGATTGAAATCATCTTCAGTTTAAATTTGTTCTTATGTATTGCAGAACGGTTTATGCTTACTAGTACTTGTGCAATCCTTGGTTGTCAAGCTTGTTAGGAATCGTACCGTTATGATCCTGTCTGTAGTCAAGCGACAAAGCTGTTAGCAAATAAAGAACAACTGTTTACTTGTAGAAGTTATGTTTTTAGATTGTAATGTGCTAGTAAACAGTAAACACGTAGATAACGAAATTCTCCGTCTATTTTTTCTTCTCCAACCTGTTCAACCCTACATAAGTAGCTTAAATCTGTGGTTGTTTATATTTATTTACAAATTTTCAATAGATGTCAAGCGTACTGTTGGGTCAAGATTCTTAACGGGAAATGTGATACAATAGGCACCAAGAAATGCTTTCCTAGTCTTTCTACTCTACCCATCCCCCGTGTCACCCATCTGATTATGTCCTGCACCCCATGTTCTTTCTTGTCGTGTGCCATAAATCATATTTATGTCTTCTTCTGCACCTTCTTTATATTTAATTTGATAACCATGACTTAATGGATGTAACAACCATCTTTGCAAATGTGCAGTCGCAATGACAGAAATTTTAGCCTTTTCTTCTTCCTTTTCCTATAGATGCGGTCTATAGAAAAAGGTCTGTTATTTCTTATAAGATCTGTCTCTAAAATACCTCCTTAGAAGTTGACTGCCAGCTATTTGTAACCATAATATTTGGCAGTTGTTATCTCAGATTCCACGGACGTGGTACTACAATCTCTTTGCGCTCCCTTCCTCATCCCACAATGTTCTGACCTGGTATTAATCTCTGATGCCGGAGTTCTTAATTCTATCCTATTTGAGTTTTCCTGAGATCGAGAAAGTACGAAAATGTGAAAATTTGATGCATTCGTAGTTTTACAAGTGCTTAATAGTAACACCCGGGATTCGGAGCATATTACAAAAAAAAACTCTTAGAACAAAAGTGGTAGCAAATTTTATTCTTAACAATACTTCTTAACATGGATGTACCAGTCTCTTCTTCGCTGTCTACACTATCGTGCAACATCCTGCATCCCGCACTGTTCCTAAATGTTAGTGTTTCTTACTTTGAAACTAATTATCATTTCTCACTTCTCGTTTTGTCTCGGGTAGTTCTTAAAATACACATTTCAGCAATCCTCAACATGTTTTTTGTCTTGTTATTTTCACGGACGTCTAGACCGTTGGTTGGTCATAATGGCCTTTATGCAGATTTATTACTTAATTCTTACTTTGCTATTTGTTTAGCTGTATTGGTTTGACCAAATAATGTCTCATAAGCATCCCGATAGGGCTGCTGCTTTATTTACTTAACTCCTTATTTCTTTAGTAAGGTCGTAACTGCAGTAGATGTCCATACCTAGATATCTGAAGATGTTGGTGGTTCCTTGCTAAATGTCATGGCTTTTGTTCTATTTATAGATGTTGTCATTTTGAAATATCAGGCTGACGAGTAGAATTTAAAGAGTTGTCTCTGCAGGTCATGCTCAGTCTCTGTTATGACACATCATCGGTGTAGCACATCGTACTGCTCCTTTTGCTGCTCATTCTGTATCCCAGTTCAATTCCCATTCAATGATGCCACCTGTTGTATAATTTCATCCATTAAAAAGTTGAACAGGAAGGCTTAAACTATCTCCATATCTCTTTCCTTCTGCTGTTTCTTCTGGTATACTGGTTTTTATTTGTTGCCACCACTTCTTGGCTTCAGGTTCGTCGGTTGTGTGGGTGTTTTCCATTAGTACAATTTTGCATAAAACAAAGTTGTGACGAAGAGTACTCAGGTTGGCTTGGGACTCTGTTATTATGAAGTCAATCATAGATCGTTGTCCTTTGGAGTTGCAGAAAATATACTTGCGCTGTGTTTTGAACGGGTAGCTCATTCCTGGTGGAAAAACCAATCAAAAGCTCGCCATTCTTGTTAAAAGTTACTTCACAAGTTATTTCACTTACTATTCAAGTATTTAGATCTCTGACAATTATAACTTTATAGTATTAAGCTTGTTACTGGTATTTTGTAGTTCTAAGTAAAAGTTTTATGATTCTTCTGCGTTCTTGGATATGTCGGGGATATGTTGTTCTTGTTGATTTCTTATTTGTTGACATTTTGGAGTATGTCGACTCCAAAATGTGCTCTTGACCTTTTTTTAGGTTTCTGATAACCCACATATTATATTAAGTTTATGCTTTTTCCTCTCGATAAATCGTTCCATAACGCAATGTTCTAACATGCTAATCTGGTGGTATTACATCTTTTCAAACATCTGTCCTTGTTCATTGCGTAGGTCTTTATAATTAATAATAATTATATCGATTATAGTTTTTGAGTATATAAATTAATTTTAATCAAGTAACAGACAGCTTTTTAGTGTCAACTTCAAACTACAACTCAAAAAATAAACCAAAAAATTCAATTTATTCATTTTTAGTTTATATTTTTTCACTACATTTAATAAACAACATGAGAAGATCGCAAAATGGAAATGCATCCGATGAAGAAGCGAAACAAAAAACGAGAGAAATCGTGTTATCGAACCTGTTAATGTTTGGGATTATAGTTGTAGCGGTTAGACTAAGTAAGTAACTATTTAAATGAAGGTAAATATTACGTTATTTTTTTACAGCACCTTTTGTCGTACGGTTATTCAGTTGAGAAATTTAAGTAGAAAAATTCAAATAATAAAATAAACCTTTTTTGTGATGTACCTTTAATGAAAATGTATAAAAGAATATTAAATTAAATCAGTGTTATTATGAAATTATTTGATGTGATAAATAAAACATCGAATTTTCAAAAATAAATAAAAAAATATCACATTTATTTTAAAAATGATTTTATCCAGTCGGTAAATTGGCTAACATCCGTAAACACTAAATATTGGCTTAGATCGCATACTTTTGACGTATCAAACAGTGATAAGGAAACTAATCCTCTTAAAGTCCATCGTCCACCTCTTTGCATTATGAAACCTCCACCGCTGTCACCGTTACAAGGACCTGATCCATTTCGGAAACCTAAATAAATTAAATTTAATAAACCAATTTTTAATTATTAACTACTTTTTTACCTGCACAAAACGTTCTTTCCGTTACAACTTCTTGTAAAGTTTCTTGACTTTTTCGGCACACCTCGGAATCAACAATAGGTAAAACGACTTGTTTAGCCTCAGCCGAGGTTTGAACACCGTTTTCATCTTTCCCCCAACCAGCAACGATACCCATTTGACCAACAATTCGATTTAAATTACTTTCTTCGCTCCATAAACAAATCGGTCTTATAAAAGTTTTAAATTCGATTTTTTTGGTTAATGTTATCATTCCAATATCGGCATCGGCAAAAAGCTCTCTGTAATCTTTATGAATGGTTATCTGTTCGGCGTAGACCATTAAAGATTCATTATCGACCCATTGTTGGATGTTGTGTTTACCCAATATTACCAAGAGGTCATCCGTTCGAATATTTCTGCCGTTTCTACGAAGACAATGGGCGGCTAAAATGATTAATTAAGTTATTGTTAAATGATTGTAATTTTTATACGAACCTGTTAAAACGTGTTTGTTTGAAATCAAATTTCCACCACAAATAAAAACTAATCCAAGATTTTGAATAACATATAAAGCAGCTAACCACGGATGATGTCCTCTTTCGATTGGATGTCCATAAGAAATTAAATAATTCGTCGCCAAAGATTTTCCGCAAACATCCGCGATGTCATCTGTTCGTATATCGACGTTAAAATTATTATTATTATTATTATTTTCAGTGCTTCTTTGAGGAATTTCGGTAGTGGTCGGTGCCGTAAACGTAATAATTTGATTCAAATTTAAATCTTTGGGTGGATTTTGATCGGCGTAACCATTTGTACTAGTTGTTGTTAAATAGAAGAATGGATTATTTGGATAGTCTTTTTTCGGGCCATTTTCATTAAAGTAATCAATTCGCGGCGAGTTATCAACATTTTCTGTAACAAATTGTGGATTTCCACCCGGATTATTATAAAAATCGAAATTATTTGATGTTGGCGACGATACAACCGAGGGGTTAAGTGGAAATAAACCAGACGTCACGTTGATTTTTAGTACGTGTTGGAGTGTGATTGTTGTTAAAACAGGAACAGCCTTAACTGAAAAAAAAATTTATTTTAATTAAAAAATTAAGTTAATTAAGTATTCAAAATAGTTATTAATTTCAATAAGATTATTTTAATCAAGAAGTGATACCAAACGGGAGGTTGCTTGTAATTGATAACCTATGTCAATTTGCGTCAAAAATTTCAGAGTAATCTGATTATTATCAACACCTTTGTTTATTATTATTAAAAACATTAAAAATGTACTCCTGTAACGCTGAAGATAAGATAAGATGTCTGAAGAAAAGATTTGGTTACTTTAAATCTTCAATAAAAGTGAAATGGTCGAAAGCTCATAAGCGCCGAAAAACAGAACAGGTTCGCACGACTGTAGACGATGAGGTTATTATTCATGCTGCACAAACAACCTTAAGAGAAAGAGGCAAAAGAGATGCCAAATTCTGAAAAACATCACAAATTCTCCTACTCGTGCTGGAACATATAAGAATGCTTTCCAACCCAAATATTGCCAACAAGAAATTCACCGGAGGCTGATTTAACTAAGCGGCAATATGAAGTTATTAGAAGTAGGAACAAAGCACTTTATCCGTGTTACAATCTAGAAATTAAAGTAAAACAAGATTGCTATCCACCTAAAGAATGTATAAGGGTCACAAGTACCTGCGCCGTAAGTACATTACAAGGCCTCATGAACAGTACTGTCACGCGCTTTTCAATTTATCTGGAAGAAGTACTAGCAACCCTCAATGAAAACGAAAAAAATTCGTTGCTAATTATTTGTAAATGGGGTTGTGATGGTTCGCAGCAAGCAAAATATAAACAGAAATTCGATAATGATGCTGATTCAGACGGTCATATATTTCTGAGTTCTTTCGTACCAATACAAATAGTTTGTGGCAAGGATAAAAAGAAAGTCATTTGGCAAAACCCAACACCGTCTTCGCCAAAATATTGCCGACCGATAAGATTCAGATTTCTGAAGGAAAACGCGGATGTTACTAAAGAAGAAATTAGTTTTGTCGAAGAGTCTGCACAGAGTTTAGTTGCTACCGAAGTCATTTTGAACGGAAAGACATTCCTGTTTGGACATATATTGAAAATGACTATGGTTGACGGAAAGGTTTGCAACGCAGCTACTGGCACAAAATCAACGACACGGTGTTATATATGTAACGTAACATCAAAAGATTTCAATAATCTGGATCTAGAAAAAAAAGTAGTGAGTAAACCTGCTATCGAATTTGGTTTATCTGTTTTACACGCCAGAATACGATTGTTAGAGAGTATTTTACATTTGGCTTATAAATTGCCAGTCAAGAAGTACAGACAGAAAAGAAGTAAGGAGGAAAAAATCGTCGAAGAACAAACGAAATTACACATTCAAGAAAGGTTTAGAAAAGAGACGGGATTATTAATAGATATGCCAAAGGCTAACTATGGAAATACTAACGATGGAAACACTAGCCGAAGATTCTTCGAAAATGCAAATTTAGCTGCTGACATCACAGGAATTGATTATAATTTATTGTACAGACTTAAAGTAATTTTGGAAGTCATTTCATCTGGTCATAAAATTGATACCAAGAAATATGATGAATATGCTCTGGATACGGCTAAATTATACGTTCAATTGTATGAATGGCATCCGATGACACCATCCATGCATAAGATATTAATACATGGTGGTACCATCATTAAAAATGCTTTGTTGCCCATAGGGCAATTATCAGAAGAAGCCCAAGAGGCTCGAAACAAACATTTTCGAATGTACCGCGAAAACTTTGCCAGGAAATTTTCAAGAGAAGATTGTAACCGCGATATATATAATAGATTATTATTAAGCTCAGACCCACTTTTGAGCAGCACAACACAAATTAAAAAAAGGTGTAAATCGAAATCATTCTGCCCAGAAACAATAGAAATGTTAATATCAGCTGAGCCTTATATTGAAGCCAGTACTACACCAGATTCTTCGGATAGCGAGCAAGATCTGTGATTAAATATGGTTGAAATAATGATTATTGATATTGTTTACTAACATAATATACCTACGAACAAATATTATGGGACAGTGATTTCGGAAATGAATGCTTATTGTGATTATTATGTCTTTTAAGATACCTTTTTTTATGTGTTAAGTTAATATGTTTGAATTTTCTGTATTTGTTTTTAAATAATCATATTAATTAGTAATTATTGTGAAAAATACCGAATTATTATTGTTTATCCCATTTAGAACTGATATAGATCATAAAATGATTTTGACCGCGTAAATCGATCAAATCAACCTATGTGCGGCGGGATCCAGAATAGTCTGTTCTATCCAACCGTAAAATAAAAAAAAATTCTATTAATTACAACAAATAAAAAGAAAAAAAAACAAAGGCAAAATCTTGAAATTATTAATACAGTATCACCCGCATCATATCAAATCTAAATTTAAACATAATTAAATTAAATGAAAGGGCCCAAAAGACCTAAACGTAAATTAAATGAAAGAGGAAAAAAAAGAAAGAAGGGAGAAAAAAAATCTATAATAATGAAAATTAAAAAAGGACTCAGTGTAATAACTGATGGCGTAACTGTTAACATCGTAACAATGACTTTATATCAATAAGAATAAGGTCAAAAAAAGGTCACAAAAAAATCACAGTGAAACAAAGAATAACAACCATCAGACAAGACCCGTTGACTGCTGAAAAATCATATTCCTCAATTTTATTCGAAATTGGTCATATTTCAGTTGACGTAGTGCATGTGGCAAGCTTCCATACGATTTATAAACATGATATGTAAATGACCTTTGAAAAAGTGATATTCTATGTTTTGGAGGATAGAAACTAATACCTGACCTTGTCTGACTTCCTTCGCACTGTGGTTTATATTTAATTTTATTATGCAGGTACTCCGGGACTCCAGAGGTAACGATTCTATGATAGAGAGACAAACTATGAAACTCCCGTCGAGAGCTCATGTTGAGCCACCCAGCATCCTTAAGTTTATGAGATACTCTATCAAATTTGCGAATCCCATAAATGAATCTGAGGTAACTATTCTGAACCTTTTGTATACTTCGTGACGTGACTGCATCTATAGCCCTATGATATACAGCAGACATACAATTAAATTGTGAAAGAACAAACATATTACAGAGGAGCACTTTTAATTTCAAAGGTAAACATGAACGATGCGGGTACAGCCGACGCAAAAAAAAATATGATCTCTGAATACATGTTTGAATTTGTTTTCTAAATCTTAAGCTAGTATCTAAAATCATACCAAGACACTTAGCCTCAGAGACTTTTTTAATTAAGGTGTTATTCATCTTAATGGCTAAGTGCGAAGTAGGGTTGCGCAATTGCCCATCGAAACTCATCCACATAGATTTGTCAGGATTTATTTTAAGCTGGTGGTATGTTGCTAATTCAAAAATCGTATCAAGGTCACCGCTAATACTAGCCTCAGCAATACCTCTGCTCGCTGTCGCGTATGAAGCGTAATGCTGGGTATCATCCGCATATGTACTCATTTTACAGAATTTAATAAATTTATTAAATTGTGACGTATAGATAGAAAATAAAATAGGTCCCAGCCCAGATCCTTGGGGAACACCATTACAAAGTGCGAGTTCACCAGACATGGCATCATCAACTTTCACTCTCTGTGTGCGATCACTAAGATAGCTACTCAATAGTGTTACTGCGCCTTCACCAAAACCCAGGTAACGAAGTAGTTTGCTCAGAATGGTGTGGTTAACAGTGTCAAATGCTTTTGAATAGTCTAAAAAAACACAGCAGTACTCTCTCCCACGTCAACAGCGAACAATATATCATCAGTTAGATTTAACATTGATGTTGTGCAATTATACCCACTTCGAAAACCCGATTGTTCTGAAGGGAGCTATTGGTCTCCATATACTTCACCAATTGAGCCTTCATAACCTTTTCTAAAACTTTAGAAAGAACAGGGAGAATAAACAACAATTGAGTATGTGGGTTAAATATGGCAAAATGGTGGGGCAACACAATTTGATCATCTCAATAGATATTCCATCAGTACCAATAGCAGAAGATGTAATAGATGCAATCACGTCAAAAACCAGAGAGATCTCCACAGTCTTAAATGAAAACTCACTACTATAAATAGGAGAACTGTACAGATCAAGGTCAGAAGCCTGTAAATCTTTAATAATGTCATTTACACTGCCTACAAAATAATTATTAATCTGATCAGGATGTTTTAAATTTAAAGGTAGGCAAGATTTTTGAATTGGTTTTAAGTTCAAAGTTTTCAAGTTATTCCACATCTGTTTGGTATTGCCCGTAGCAGCAATAGAACCAAAATAAGCTCGCTTTTCATTCCTTATAGCTGCAGTAGTAAGATTACGAAGGGTCTTATAATATTCCCAATGAGCCGGCCTGCCCGTATGTCTAAACCTGGTTTTAGCCTCATTTCTCAACTCAATCATTAATCTAATATTATCAGTCATCCAGGGTGTGGGAGGCTTGGTAAATCGACATTGCTTTATTGGAGCGTGAATATCAAATAAATCACTTAAGGCGTGTGTAAAGAATGAGACATTGTCGTTAATATCAGTTAGATACAATATAAAATTGAATGGAACTGACCATTATCCTTAGATAATGGTCAAATGAGTAATTTTCGCGTTAAACATTTTACTCTATTGATCATAGCTTCTGAGCGTTAGATTTATTTATCGTAATCATCTATTATGCTTTTTTAGATCAATACGAACAATTTTCTTGCACAACATCCTTCTCTATCGATTATAATTATTAAAGTTATTAATTATTATAGTAGTTATTAAACGAAGGGTTATACAAGATTCCAATGTGTGCTGTTTTGAAGCGGAAATGTCGAGGTGTTTCTTCGCCGAAAATGCTGGAAAAACACCAACAGCAACGTTTTCTGCTTATTTCATGCACTTGAAGAGTACCTTTGATTAGTGCTGCCCTGAAAAAGAAACCTTTGTTTCGAGTAGAAAAAGGAAAGAAGTAAACTTATCTACAATT